CGGATGAGGCAAAGTTGAGATTAATGGTGGCAATTTTTCCTTACATAAAATCCCCAATTTCTAGGGTTCATAATTTAGGGTTCTTGATTAAATAACAATCTGAAATTTATATTAGTAATTTAACAACATCATAATCCCAAAATCAATGCCAAATATAATTAAAATCATGCTTTAAAATCAAATAAAACAATAGAATTAAATTAGGAAGAGAAAGAGTTTAATATATATATATATATAAACCCTACCAAAACCAAAAAGAGGAAGGAGGAGTGAGGAGCACGGTGGTCGGCTGATGTTCGCTGGCTGCTGTTGCTGGCCACCGGCGGTCGGTGGTGTCGCCAGTGGAGAAGACAGAAAAAGAAGAAGAAAAATAAGAGGGAAAAGGAGGGAGAAAATAAAGAGAGATTTTGAGATTTTTGTGAAATCTGACAATTATGAATCTTGAGTGGAAAAATATTGAGGTTTTAAAGTATTTATACTTCCATTTTAAAACAAAACTCATAATTACAAAATTGTCATTACTAAATCGTATTTTCCCTTAACTTTTCCTTTGAGGCCAACTTATTGGGCTCTTAAGTTTCCTTAACTTCCCAATAAATTGGTCTAATCATTTAGATAAGATTGACTCAATTCAAAATGCTTTTGTTGCCCCAATTCATGACCCAATTAATTTATACACATTTACATATTATTTAAATAATTAATTTCATTGAAAATGAAATGAATCATAAAAAAAAAATTCAGGAAAAAAGTGAATCATAAAAATAAATAAAAAATAATTTTTATATAATCCCTTCGTTTTTAAATACTTGCTCCACATTCCTTTTCCGGCCGTTTTTAAATACGTGCTCCATTTCCTTATTTGAAAAGTTTTTACAATATTAAATTAATTTCTCTCACATAGTGGACCCAACATATATTCTCTCTCCTCCAATTCTCTCCACTACTTTTAATTTATACAATTTTTTATTCTTCTACCCACCCCACTACCTGCATATTTTATTACTTTCTCCAATTTCCTAAAAATCCGCGCATGGAGAAATGGAGCAAGTATTTAAAAACGGAGGGAGTATATAAGTATTATAAAAATACGGAGTACTACAGTTTCAAGCAGGTGAGTTATTTCAATTTTGTTTATTTGTAAGAACTTGTTTAGCTCAATGTGGTTATTTGTTGAACACTCTTAATTGTTGTTTAAGTATACTTATGTCAAAAAGAAAAAGAAAATTAAAAATAAAATATATATAAAAAAAAACATTTGATACAAATATTGTAACAGGTTGGTTTCAAAAAAATATACTACCTCCGTTTCATATTATGTGCAACATTTACTAAAAACAGATGCTACACTTTATTTGCAACAATTGTTTTCTTTCCTTTTATTGGTTGTCATTTCTCTCTATCGCTCTCCTCATCACATGCTTTTTTTATATTTCTCTCTCCATTTACCACTCACATACAAATTTTGAGGAGTCTGTGTCGATATTTTTGTTGCAAATAATATGTAACGGAGATAGTACTTTGTATATTATAATAGGTTGGCTCAGGTCCAAATGGGCGGAAATTTTGGGGTTCCCCATATTTTGGGCCAATGAAGACAAAGGTCCAAGCTGATTGAAGGCCGTGAATTATAAATTTGTGGTGAAATTAGAAGACTTTAGAATTCTCTTGAGCACTTAAGAATCTTATGGAAAAAATTCAAAAGCTCATTATAGTCTAGTAATTTGATTTTATGAAGAAGCTTCTAGGAGGCTTGACTAATGCTCATGGAGTAATGGTAATGATTTTAGAATATTTTAAGAAGTATGTTGGAAATTCTAAGTATTAGCAAGGAAACTTATAAATAGAAACATCCCCGACTTGTGATTATCTTACACATCCAAGCATTGTAAGTTTTCACACAATCAATCAAACTTTCAAAAGCATCCTCACTCTATTTAGTGTCTTAATTCCCACACTTACCGAATTTTGCAGTAGTGCTTCACTTAGCGACCAATTGACTGTTTTGACTTATAATCTATTGATCAAAGTGTAATTTTTTATTTGTAAGTAACAAGTGTTTATAAAAAAATTTGAACGTTTTGAGTTTTTGACTTTATTGAAATATGCACCGACTTAATGAAGTTGAAATTTAAATTCAATATTTAATATCTAGTCAACTATATTAGTAAATATATGTTATGACATTACAATATTAAAAATAATTGTTCTAATTAAAATAAAGGTATATTCATTAAGGGGGTGTTTGGTTCGAACAATGGTATAGGTTTGGAATGAGAAATGAAACCTGGGTGGTATGGGGTTGGAACTTAATACTTGATTTCATGTGTTTGGTTTTTATCTAGGAATGATAGTTTTCCTTATAATTTTAAACTAAAGATATGGGTATGAGTCATACCCACCTCCCTCCTTGGGTTTCAAAAACCCATACCTAGGGGGTTTGAGGTATGGGTTTGAAAAATAAAATTTCTAAAAACAAACACAAGGTATGAGTTTTGGTCATTCCAAACCCATACCTTATACCTAATATGCTTGAACCAAACACCCCCTAAAAATTTTTCTATTATGGAGTATATATTAATTCTTATATACACTTAATTACTTAGTTGGATAAACATGACGCAGTATAACTGTTCAAATCTTCCAAATCCATCATTTTCCTTTTTAAATGACGGTTTTTAATATGTATAATTTTAAATTCATGTATATAGTCAAACTAAAAAAAATCATACCTAATGGGACATTTTATAGCTCCATATCTAATACATCTCCATGTTCTCATCGTATTTTCAAAACTATGTTTAAAAAGCATTATAACAAGAATTTCACCAAAGGAAAGATTTGTTTAAAATCATTATGAGAAAGTCATTGAATTAAAAACAAAAATTTAGCGCCATAAAATGCACACTGTATTTGATGATTTGTTTCTAATTTTTACGCAACGCTTAATTAAATTATTATTATTTTTGTATAAGTATATATATTCAATTCTTCATATCCGATAAGTGTTAAAATATATAATTATAAGAAAAGAATATACTAGTTTCGTTTCAATTTACTTACAACGATTAGACATTTTCTACTCATACTTTGAAACGGGGTAATAAGTCATTAATCATACTATCATTATGAAGAAAATTTATATCCATTTAATAAGATTTATCAAGATACGTTCAAGTTGATTCAACACCATGTAGTTCGTGCAAACCCAAGTATAGGAGATGTAGTTTATTGGTAGGAGGGAAACAAAGGCAAGTTCACCATTAAATCTGCAATCAGTATTATGAAGCATGAAACAGAGGTGTTGGATGAAAAATGTTGAGATTTAATTTGGAAAGCTCCTGTACAACAACGTATTAGAGTAATCATAGGCAATCTAAATAGATTTAAATGTCGACTCACTGTGACCCCCAATGCTTTATTCGTGAGCATGATCAAGACAGCACATTGCATATTTTAAGCTCCTTCGAACCTTCTTCTCGACTCGTCGCCAGCGCGAGAGGAAGCTGTCGTGCCTTACGTGCCCGCCCTGCTGCAAAGATTTTGACTCCATCTCTATTCCAAAAAATTTTAACTCACAATCTCAAAGAAACTTGTAATCCGGAGGATAAAAGATAGCATAATCTTTTTAGTATTGTTACTTGGTGGGTTTGGCGATGGAGGAATTGTTATGTGTTCAATTGTGTTAGATTTCGGGAAAACTCTTCAAATTGGAGTGTGTACCATTGATTAATTTTTTTTTTGGTGAAACCATTAATTAATATATATAGAGGTTTACAAGAGTCGTAATCCTATTATGATAAGGATACGAAGTATAATAAATATATACAAAATTATCCTAATCTGCGACAAATATTATCGTAAATATAATATCTATCACACCCTCGCAGTCGTAGCGGGAGGAGGGCGTACGCTAAGACTGGACCTGAATTCCAGAAATAATTCGCGTGGTAGGCCTTTTGTGAAAATGTCCGCAAACTGATATCTAATAGGAACATGGAGAACCCGAACTTGCCCCAAAGCAACCTTTTCTCGAACAAAATGAATATCCATCTCCACATGTTTGGTGCGTTGGTGTTGTACCGGGTTGCAAGAAAGGTAAATAGCACTAACATTATCACAATAAACGATAGTAGCCTGCCGTAGAGGACAATGTAATTCAAGTAAAAGGTTACGAAGCCAACACGCCTCAGAGACAACATTTGCGACGCCTCGATATTCTGCTTCTGCACTTGATTTAGATAATGTATGTTGACGCTTAGACGACCAGGACACGAGGTTGTCCCCAAGAAAACAACAATATCCCGAAGTGGAACGCTGGGTATCGGGACAACCTCCCCAGTCAGCGTCAGTGTAAGTAATCAAGCAATGAGAAGTAGTAGGATATAAATGTAAACCGTGATCAATGGTACCCTCACTAGTAGAAAAATTGAAAAAGGCACCACTCAATGGCCATCGATTTTTGAAAACCGGTGGCTTAAAAAATGGGCGGGATTAGGCATATGTACATTGCCACCGGTTCAAACCGAACCGGTGGCATAAATGATAAAGGCCACCGGTTTTGAACCGGTGGCAATAATCAAATAATAAAAAAAAGCCCACCATTCTCTTTCCCCTTCCTTTATATACCCTAACCCTAATCTTCTCTATCCTCTATCGCCTCTCCTCCTCTCCTCCTGCCCTCCTCCTTCTCTTTATCTCCTTCGTTCTTACTCCCCGGCCCCTCTCTACCCTGAATCTCTCTCTCTACCCTGAATCTCTCTCGTCGACCTCCTCCTCTCTCCTGATCTCTCTTCTCTTTCTCTCTCCTTAACCCTAATCTTCTCCCTCTCTCGCGGTATCTTCCTCTCTCCTTCGTTCGGCTCGTCCACCGCCGCAACAACAACCACCGCCGCATCAACAACCATCGCCATTAACCATCAAGCTTATTGTCGCACTTTCTCTCTCCTCGTGATGAAAATATGGGTTTTATGGTCTAATTCGACCATGAAAGGTCAAATTAGACCTTTATAACCCAAATTCAAGATAATTTCGGGGGTTTTTGCTGAAATTCGAGGTAATTTCTCTTCTTTCTTACTTTTATTTTGTTTTTTGTTATTTTTGGTGGAGTTCATGGGTTGTGGTGGTTTTTGGTGGTGGTTGTGGTTATGGTGGGTGGGTTTTTGTTATTTTTGGTGGAATTCGAAATTGATTTTTCTGTTTTTTGGGTTTTGGATTTTTGATTTCAAATTTTTTCTGTTTTAATTTTGGGTTTTTTATTTCGAAAATTTTCTGTTTTTAATTGATAATCGAAATTATTGGGTTTATTTAATTTTCGAAATTTTTGGGTTATTTGATTTTCGAATTTACTGGGTTTCACTGGGCGAAAATTTTGGGTTTTCATCCTTTTCTTTTTCTGTTTTTTTTGAAGCCTTTTCTCTTTCTGTTTCATCCTTTGCGGTTGACCGTATACATGCATGAGTTTCTGGGTTTTTTTCACATTTTTTTTTTTTTTGAGTTTTATTAATTTTTGGGTTTTAATTGATGCAGGTGTTAATTGATGCTGGATTCAAGAATTTCATTTTGGAATATTGTTGTTTTTAATGTTGTAATTTTTTTTTGTACTGTATAATTCATTGTAATTTTTTTTTGTACTTAATACTTCATTGTATTTTTTTATAATTTACAATAACAATCTATTATTTGAATATAAATGTGAGTATATTTCATTGCGCTCTTATATTGATTGTGATGTTATTTGCCTTATATATTACAGAGTTTTTTTTTAATTATTATTATTATTGTAGCAAATAACCGGAAAAAAAAGTATGTTATTGCCACCAGTTAACCGGTGGCATTTATATGTAATATAAAAAAAAAAAAAAAACGGGAAGCATAATTTCCACCGGTTAACCGGTGGCAATACTTGTTTTTGCCACCGGTTTTGAACCGGTGGCTTTGCATTAGACTATTGCCACCCCCCAAATGCCCACCGGTTCAAAACCGGTGGCATAGGGGGGTTTTGAACCGGTGGCCAATTGCTTTTTTCTACTAGTGCCTGAACATAACGCAGAATGCGTTTCAATGCCTCATAGTGAGGTTCCTGGGGATCATGCATAAAAAGACACACCTGTTGTACCGCATAGGAAATATCTGGCCTGGTGAAAGTGAGATACTGAAGAGCACCTGCTAAACTGTGATACAAAGTAGGATCCCGAAAAGGTGGTCCTGCATCTGCACTAAGTTTGGACTTAGTGTCAACTGGAGTGGCTGTAGGTTTACAAGAGGCCATACCTGCACGCTCTAAAATCTCCTGAGCATACTTTTCCTGTGAAAGTAGTAAATAAGAAGGTTTTTGGGTTACTGCAATACCCAAAAAATAACTTAGAGGCCCCAAGTCAGACATAGGAAACTCAGTTTGCAACTGAGAAATGATCCTTGTACGCAACCTGTCAGATGAGGTAGTTAAAATAATATCATCAACATATAGAAGCAAATATGCCATATCATCTCCCTGTCGGAAAGTAAAGAGAGAGTTGTCACTCTTGGCAATGACAAACCCCAATTTGATGAGAAAATTCGCAAAGCGTTGGTACCAAGCCCTAGGAGCTTGTTTCAAACCATAAAGAGCCTTGCGGAGCTGACAAACATGAGAGGGAACCCTCCAATCAACAAAACCCGGAGGTTGATGCATATAGACAGTTTCCTGCAAATCACCATGTAAAAAGGCATTTTTGACATCTAATTGATGTATCGACCACTTTTTAGCCAAAGCTAAACTGAGAACAGTACGAATAGTGGCCAGTTTAATAACCGGACGGAAGGTCTCATCGCAATCCACTCCAATTTCCTGCGACCTGCCATCACATACAAGACGAGCTTTGTGCCTTTCAAGGTCACCATTAGACTTGTATTTGTGTTTAAATAGCCACATACAATTAACAATATTCACCCCCGTAGGCCTAGGCACCAATTCCCATGTTTCTGTTTTAATTAAAGCACTATACTCATCATGCATCGCCGCATTCCAATTATGGTCATTTAAGGCTTGTTTATAAGACTTTGGAAGTGGTGATTTGTGATGAGGGGGACCCGAAGGTTGAATGGTTAGATTGCAATATTTCAGGTTGGGCTTAAAAATACCTCGTTGACTACGAGTGACTCGGGGAGAAGGAGGTGGTGGCCTAGTTGGTTGAATAGGAGGGATGCCACGAAAAGGAGGCGGGGTGTATGTGGCTTGCGGTGTGACTGGACTGGCGGGCTGCAAGGAGGGGGACAGAACAGTCCGCGGTGGGGTCGCGACTGGTGAAGTGTTGCCGCAAGTGTGCTGCGGTGTGCACTGTGCGTGAGTGGGAGAAGGTGGAGTGGAGTGTGATGTGTGTGGGCTTAAGGTGGGAGTTGGAGATTGGGCTTGAGGGTGAGTGGGCCTACAATAACGCATAAGAATATGAGTTAGAAGTGGAGATGCATCCTCAGTGGCCAAATAATTATAATCTTCCAACTTATACTTGTGCAAATGCAAATATGGGAAAACATTTTCATCAAAGGTCACATGTCGTGAAATAAAAATTTTATTTGATGAAATTTCAAAACACCTATAATTTTATCTGGTTCAATAATACTGCTTATCCTAGTGAGTTTTACGGACCTACTGGACCAGAAGCTTCTCAAGCTCAAGCATTTACTTTTTTAGTTAGAGACCAACGTCTTGGGGCTAACGTGGGATCCGCTCAAGGACCTACTGGTTTAGGTAAGTATCTAATGCGTTCTCCGACTGGAGAAGTTATTTTTGGGGGAGAAACTATGCGGTTTTGGGATTTGCGCGCTCCCTGGTTAGAACCCCTAAGAGGTCCAAATGGTTTGGACTTGAGTCGGCTGAAAAAAGACATACAACCTTGGCAAGAACGCCGTTCCGCAGAATATATGACCCATGCTCCTTTAGGTTCTTTAAATTCTGTGGGTGGGGTGGCTACCGAGATCAATGTAGTCAATTATGTCTCTCCTAGAAGTTGGTTAGCTACTTCTCATTTTGTTTTAGGATTTTTCCTATTCGTAGGTCATTTGTGGCATGCGGGAAGGGCTCGTGCAGCTGCAGCAGGATTTGAAAAAGGAATTGATCGTGATTTTGAACCTGTTCTTTCAATGACCCCCCTTAATTGAGACAAGAAATTCAACGTTTTAAGGTATAAATCAATTGGCTTCCATCATACATATTACATATGGGGATCAGGTCATACGTAAAAAGTATTCCTTTTTTCTTGTTTTTTTTTCAACTTATTTCTATGTAATTTAATTTCTTTTTTTTCTGGCTCGGCTATCTCACCTAGCCGAGCCATTCTCTTTTTTTTAACAGACCAAGCAAAACTAATAAAAGAAGGAAACAGTTCTATTGAACGAACAAAAGGAGAGAGAGGGATTCGAACCCTCGATAGTTCTGAACAAAGAACTATGCCGGTTTTCAAGACCGGAGCTATCAACCACTCAGCCATCTCTCCAACATAAGTCAATTTCTATTTTATTCTTATTCCCCCGAATAGAACATGGTTCTATGAGCTGATACCATCCGAAATTGTCAAAAAAATTTAGGTGTAAGTTGATAGGGTGATCCATTTATCTGTATATTATATATAAATGATCTATCATGCCCATTTAAGTATTTAATTTAATTATTAATTACTAATTTCCCAGCAGTTCCATCTTGGAATAAAGCGGTAATAAATGATATTACATAGAATCAATGAATTCCATGGTAATAGTCTAAAATCCCTCCGTGATACATTTATTACTTTATAGTACAATGACTGATAAAGGGATCAAATGGTATATAGTTTGTTTGTTGATAGCTTGGAGGATTATATGTATGACTATAGCTTTTCAATTGGCTGTTTTTGCATTAATTGCTACTTCATCAATCTTATTAATTAGCGTACCCGTTGTATTTGCTTCTCCCGACGGTTGGTCAAGTAACAAAAATTTTGTATTTTCCGGTACATCATTATGGATTGGATTAGTCTTTCTGGTGGGTATCCTTAATTCTCTAATCTCTTGAACCTATTTGTTCCAGATCCAAAAATGACCCCTCCCCCGAATTTGAATTCTTTCGGGTTGTGAGACACAGTAAAATTTAATCAATATAACAATAAAATTAAAAAGTTCCCCAAAAGACAAACAAAACAAATAACGAAAACAAAAAAATTAGAGGGAGGGGTCAAAACGAAATTTCTTCAAATTCAATGAAGTGAATCAAATAAATAAAGAAATTAACAATTTAATCGGAATCAACTTGAAGCGAGTATCTGGTCCGACTCTACACAAATATCATCGAGACATATATTATATATCTATGTCTATGCAGGGACATATTCCTTCTCAAGAAGGAAAAAATGCGAATATAGTCGAATGGTAAAATTTCTCTTTGCCAAGGAGAAGACGCGGGTTCGATTCCCGCTATCCGCTCAAGGGAAAGTAAATTTATTTACTATGATAAAGAATTTGGTTATAGTTATAGTCGATTCCGATAGTGTAGTGATTCTATCCTTCACGTTCTTTTATTTTCTCACTCCCCCAAAAAGAAAACCGAATAAATCTGAATTTCAATTAATTTCAATATTTTTAGTATTTTATTTAGTTAATTTACTAGTTAACATATTCAAACCTAAAATTTTGGACAAAATTCAAATTTTGCGGAGACAGGATTTGAACCCGTGACCTCAAGGTTATGAGCCTTGCGAGCTACCAAACTGCTCTACCCCGCGTCGAAAAAAAGTTGGGAACGAATGGACAAACAAAAAAGGAATGTGCCCTCTACCCTATCTGTACAAATAGAATACCCCATTTGTACAGAATGGTAAAGGGTCTATCTATGATCGATGATGATCATAGAAATGAAAATCTTTTTTTATGCTTACCAACTCGATCTTGTTGCCCCTGGCAACAAACATGTATGAACCATTTCACGAAGGATATGTCCGGATAACCCAAAGTGTCGATAGTTAGCTCTCGGTCTTCCGGTCAAAAAACAACGTCGATGGAGACGCGTAGGTGCACTATTACGTGGTAGAGATTGTAACTTTCCATGAATTTCCCATTTATCACTCAACGATGCTACTTTGCTTATTTCTTCTTTTGAGGATCGACAAATCAAATGATATTTTTGTTCCAAATTCTTCCTCTTCTTCTCCCGCTGAATCAAACTTTTCCTTGCCATAATGGTTCAGTTCCTATTAGTATCAATGATACAAGTCGGATCCTAGATGTAAAAGTGTATAAGAAAGGGGGTTTCCTTCTCCATCCAAAGAAATGAGATTCTCGTGAAGACAACACAAAAATTAACCAAATTTGCCCGATGTAGAGGCAATCAAGAAAGCCGCATATGTGAATATATAACCTACGGAAAAGTGAGCTAATCCAACTAATCTTGCTTGTACAATGGAAAGAGCCACTGGCTTATCTCTCCATCGAATCAAATTGGCCAAAGATGTGTGTTCATGAGCCCATGCTAAAGTTTCAATCAACTCCTGCCAATATCCACGCCACGAAATTAAGAACATAAATCCCGTAGCCCAAACAAGATGTCCAAATAAGAACATCCACGCCCAAACCGATAAACTATTCATACCAAATGGATTATATCCATTGATAAGTTGTGAAGAGTTTAACCATAGATAATCTCTTAACCATCCCATCAAATAAGTGGAAGATTCATTAAATTGTGAAACATTACCCTGCCATAACGTGATGTGTTTCCAATGCCAATAAAAGGTAACCCACCCAATGGTATTTAACATCCAGAAAACTGCCAAATAAAATGTGTCCCA